TTAAGCAGTGATATTGTGAATTTTGGGTTCCTTACAGTTCAGAAAAATTGAGCCGTCGATTGAGGTTTTAATGCTCCCCAAAAGTGCATTTTCAAACTTCTAGTTGAATAAAACCAAAATTATTCAACTTGCCAAGTATAACGAATTATAGAAGGCGTCTTCTAGTTTCGAAAGAAACAATATTTTGCCAAAAATTCCGGTTTCTTAATGCATTTTCGACTTTGAAGAGGCTCAAAGTTATCCTGAACCTCGTAAACTTTTTTTTACCGGATTATATGCTTTTTTATTTGAAGTCTTATCTTTCTATCACTCTGAGCTGGTTTTCCGTTCAAACAGCTTTTTGTGCTCCTAAGCGATGCCGGGAGTTTCCAGAATTAGTGATCTTGATAATATATATTGAATTTATGAGAAATTCATCCAAAGTTGCCGAGGTACAAAATTAATTAAACACATGTCGTCATATTTTTATTATTTGTCATCTTTTTTTTTTCAAAATCCTCAATATTGAAGTGGATTTTCTGGATCCATAAAAAACTTGAAAATACCTTCACGTTTTTGCAATGCCATATTTCCTTCACATTTAGTCCATGGTTCCCATCGTAATTCTACCGCCACATTCATGTCGATGCCATCAACAATGAATTCTTTTCTGTAATCTCATGATTGTCAGAAATAAAAATAGTATATTACTTCTTCTCATTTAGCATTTACCGGCAGTAGTCTAATGTGCAGTCTCTCTCAGGCGTATACTGAGTATACTGAAAGTACCAATAGTTAATTTTTTCTAGGATCTTATTATGATCGAATAATTTGCCACCACATATTTTTATATAATTGGTCATGACGGCATTTATGTGAAGACCGAATCTCACATAGTCTTTATTGCAGAACTCAGCTTTCCTATGCTGCTTGCACTTTTGTGGAGCTTCGTGACGAACATTTGGTACGAAATGATAGCGCCAATTGAAGTTTGCGCGAATCAGTTTATAATCAACTTCTTTCTTGCAGCCATCCGCTGAAACGTAAGAATTTTATTTTATCAAATTGTTTTAAAGAGTATTTTTGAAATTT